ATTATCTACAAAACTTCTTTGCTGATGGGGAGTGATTCTTAATGAGGGACCAGCTCTGGCTGTCACTGAGGCTTCCTGATCCCCTCAGACAAGTTTGTTTTCTCTGACACATGCTTGCATAACGTCTGTACTTTTAACCACATTGATTTGGTCAACAATTCTCCTGACTCATACGCAAGAAGATGCTGAATGAATGAATGAATTGGTCCAGGACGTGGGTGTGGAAGAGCCAAAACAACTAGTATCTTCTATCTTTTGCAAACCCCACCCTGGAAAGTGGCAAAGCAAAGAGGGGGTAGGATCGAGGAATAGGAAGGAAATGATTCCTCTTTGGTTAGTAGGGTATTCATTCATGTTTCTCTCCAGCTACCTGAAACTTAGGTATAGCTATACAGGTGTGACTGACGTAAGGAGAGAAGGAGCCATCCTGATAACGTAAGGGGTTTAATTCAGCTTGTCCACAAACTCCTGGGATCTTCTGCACATTTGGTTTCAGTTCTCCATTGCTACCAATGCAGAAGGGTCAGGACACTCAGCTCTATGTACCTGCTGATGTATCTATGCTGCTATGAAAACAAGCTGCTCTCCTGTCACCCCTGGGCAAGGACTGAAGCAGGACAGTCTGCGTAAGAGTAGCCTGAGACTGAGTGACACCCGGGTAGGCATAAAGGTTCCTTCGCTGATGGATGATCTAATATTAGGACTGGATTTTCTCCCTGATCTTTAAGTCAAAGAGGAAGGTTTCCTCAAGTTTAACTGGATAGTTACTTGGGACCTTCTAAGAGTGTTTTTGTCCCATCAGACTGACTCCAGGATTTTCCTGGACTTGATGGAGCACACCTAATGGGCCCCTCATCTACTTGGGCCACTGTGTTGTAGGCAGAGCTTGTCTGATATCTCAGGGACCAGCCCCTTCTCAGAACTCCATTGTTCTCTCAGTTAGCTAAGCTGGGTTGTATTTTGGGGCCTGATTTTACCCCATCCTCCTCATGACAGCCCCAAAGGACATTCAATGTAAGATTCAGGTTTTGCTGGGGATGGTTTCCTTTACTCTTAGAAATGGCTTCTGATTCAACTCCCACTAGAGAGAGGAACAACTCCCTCACTTCCTTCTCCTTGTCACTTAGGAAGAATTACAGAATCTTTCTGACTTTCCATTTCCTCTTCTCTAATTTGGGTATAATAATCCATGTCTCACAGTATCACTGTGAGCAATGAATAATATTGCACATGTCAAGTACTAGAATAGTAACTAGCACAAAGTAGGGCCTT